CGACCCTTTGGCCCCCTAATCAACTGCTCGTAAGAAGACAGCATAGTACTAGTGAAGCAATCTCGATGTTCAGTGTGAAAGTTTGGCGCAGTTCGATTTGGTGAGGGCACCGACTTCTGCTCGAAGCTTGTACAAGCTATGTAACCAAAGTGGATCATTTCTACCATTTCGCAGTTCCACAAGACTTTTCACGTTTATTAACAAGAACTTGCGGGAAGGCAACCCCCCCCCCCTCCTCCCTGAGCCAGAACAGGACGAAAGCCCTTTTTTCTGAAAATTTTCCGATGCCTATAAGGGCTAGTTGTCATTACTTAACTAGTGACGCTTGGGAGCTAATTCCCTTTTGAGGCTAATTAAAAACCATCGCTCAATAAAGAACGTGATACACCGTCGAATAGAAACACAATTCAACCATTTCAACGCCGTTTTACTAATTGGACGGGAAGTGTAGAAGGTCATTTAGTCCTCGTCAGGGTGAATATTCATTGGGAAATGATAGAGAAGGCGGTTGAACGAGCAAAAAAATTAAAACTGTTTCATCTTGTTACCACTGCCGTGCTCTAGTAGACTGTTTCACATAAGCTTGTCAAACTTATGGGAATAAGACAAACTGAAAGTGAAAAAAGAAAGTAGGTTAGTACCTGAGGATCAGCCAGATCGCCACTTATGTTAGCTCCAGCCATGATTCCTGTAGCCGCAGGGAAGTATACAGCAAACACCGAGAAAAAATCTTCTCCACCACGAAAAGACGGCATGAGATTTTCCGTCAATGTTGCAACTAAAATCAAAACATAAATAGCCCATCAATAAATCACCACGTGAAATAACAGTGAGAAATTTAACGGGATAAAAGAATCCCTTAAAGTCACGTCCTGCCTTCATTTGATGTTCAGGTGCCTTCAGTGGACATGGCAGTCCTGTCAGCAAACATGGAGAATGTACTACTTGCGCAGATCAGAAACACTCGAGGAAAGCGCCGCCCCTTCGTGCGAAACAACGACTGCGTCCACTGGAAACGGCGACACCCAGCTTCCCTTTCAACAATACTACCCAATAGTGCGGTTTTTCCGCTGCGAATCTCACCATTTCAAATAGTGAGAGTGATGTAGTAAGGAGAAGGGCACAAACAAGTGAGGACTCGTCCGACCACGCCCTTTCTTCGCCTTGTGCCCGTACAAGCGCGCTTCAGATGAGCCTCTTATATTGGAAATTTCAGGTGGGTTTTAGCTCAATTTTTCTTCAATTTCATGCTGCCTTACCATCCATGGTCATGAGTATTTCAAGAGTTTAGTCAGCGGGGCGTTGGCCCTCTCAAGTCAAATTGAGGTCCAATTAGAATGACGGGGATTCTAGCTGATTCAGCGTCATGTTCTAGATGGACGCAGCTTTATGAGAGAAGGTTACATGAGAACTGCCATGAAAAATCTCATTTTTGTCTCTCAAAAATAGTTTTTCTTTGGAAAGACAGGAAGCGGGGGAGAATACCAAAATCACCACAAGAAGAGAGGTGTTTAAATGCTGGTATTTATGTTTCTCTGTTTCTCTGTATCACAAGGAGCAGAGAAGGGCCATCTGGGAACCAAGCAAATGTCCCCCATAACGGAAAAGAGAACAGTTCCAAAACATAAATTACAACAAGAATAAATGTATTCATGTTACAGTTCAAGAAAACCAATAACTGAAGTGAAAATTGGCGCAGTTTGGCTTGGTGGGGCAACAAATAGCACTCACTCAGCCTATACAGAACATTTGTGAAGGGAGACGGACAAGAGAATCATGATTTGCCGTGCCCGTGGCGCACCGTGTGGATTGAAACGGTAACTTTCCTCGCCATCTGTGGGTGCCCCTTCGCCGATAGCGGGAATATTCAAACTAGCGTCAGTTTCGGCAATTGGGGCACGCAAAACTCGTGGAGTACGTTGCATATTTTTTGCATTTTTCTCGTGTTTGGCGCACATATTGTTCGCTCGTCGGTGGCCACTTTCTACCACATTCTCATTGTTTGGGTCACGGTTTACCAATGAGCATTCGAGAATGAGACGCACGACATTAACTAGAAAAAATGGAAGCAAATAAATAGTAAATACCCCTCCCAAGCCAGGGAGTGTCGCGAAACCAGTAGAGCGTAAAGGTGAAAGAAGCGAAGAACAGAAATTCACTGGACGCTTTCCAAGATACTTGATGGATCTCCAGATTTTTTCACTCCCACTTTCGGACGATTCTAGATTTTGTGAATCTTATCAGTTGAGAGTTTCACTAACAGGGAAAGGGTCCAATCAGGTCAGCCTGGCCTATTGTTGGCTGATGCACATCACTGTACTCATCTTGACAAGGTGAACTCAGAACTGTCTTCAAAATTTGCAGAACGATTCTCTGAGCGGAGTTATGGAGGGTTTTATCCCCGCATTGTCGTTTCACGCGATGCGCCTATCCGAGGAGAAACCGTGGAAGCGTCGTCAACATTTATGTATAGAATCAATGTCTAAAAGTGGTAGCAGAGCACAACGGGTAGCGAGCGGGTTTCTTAGGCGAGACGTCGTAGGATCGGTTCCGAGGCAGTGCATTTTTTTTTGCATTTGTCCTAGAACATAGCCGACAAAGCTTCTAACATCTCTGCTCGCCTGCACTACCCTATAAGGGAACCTGCGATCAGTGTTTTTTGAAAGTGTGGACCCATTGTCGCTTGGAAGAGGGCCTCTGCTTGTACCCCTCGTAACGCGTGTCACACGGGTTTTTACAATGAAGTACCATCCATATTCATGTTCAGCGGTTAAATTACCCCTGGGGACACGCTTCTAGCCGAATCTGATTTTTCGACCTCACTTGGAAAATGTGTGCTATTCCATGGGTAATCAGCAGCAGATTGGAGCTTACCTACCAGGATCCGTCGAATGGTTGGGGATGGGTTACCTCTACCGATAGTCCAAGAAAAGTGATCAGGCGCTACAAATTAAGTAAGCCAGGTACCACTGTTTGCGAAAAGACATGACTGAAGAGTTATTTCAGTTCGAAGACCAGTATCACCAGTATGCTGGTCTGGGTATCGCTGTTGGCTCTCAGACAGCCATGACTATTCATACCCCATTTTTTCGAAGTTCAGTCAGAAGCTCAGATTTTGCTAAGGTGACGTCTCTGGGGGTTATTCGATCCCCTGAACACGAACGTGATACCTGTTTTGCGCGAAGAGCGCTGTGAGTCGCGCTGTGCCAACGCTTCGGCGCCAGCGCGCCCGTAAGAAGAAAAACAGTAAAGAAACCTCCATAACTCCGCTCAGAGAATCGTTCTGCAAATTTTGAAGACAGTTCTGAGTTCATCGTGTCAAGGTGAATACAGCGATATGCATCTCATTGCAAATGGCCAAGCTGACCTGTAGACTTTTCCTGGTAAGACTTACAGCTGTATCCTGTGGCACCTCGCAGTTCCATCTCTTCGTTTATTGGAAGAACTGAGCCAACCATATAGTTGACAATCGAAGCTAATAATATCACTAGTAAGCCCATTTGCATTTTCGATTCGAACGCTGTACCAATAAAAACGATACCCATCAGAGCTGCGCACGTCACTAAACATTACCTTGACAGAATTCAGCGAACAGGTGACAAAAAGTGATCTGTAACTGCAGACGCACCGAACAAAACATACCAAATCCTACTATCCGAACGTCCCACATGCCGGCGTCAATTATTTTCATACTTGCTTCTCTCAGAAGATCTCTTACTGTTTCGGCGAAACCAACAACATACATGGCTGCACCGACCGCATTTGCCACAGAAAAGATCAAGCCGATAGAACCACCGAATTCTGGTCCTAGTGAGCGAGATATCTAAACTCTCTAACGATGCCACAGATGCTTACGATGATAGATAATTTGATAAAAAAATAAGAAGCATGAATAGTTCACGAACGAGCTGAAACTAACCAAAAAGTAGGCTCCTCCTCCTTTCACATCACCGTTCGTGCAAATAGCGCATGTGGAAATGGCGGTGATAGAAGTGACGACTGATGCCAGAAGTACAATCATTGAGCCGAGACCTGAAACGAAAAAGCCTGGTAGGGATACACTTCAGCAACCAACCATCGTCTTTCCACGATGAAACACTTTTTTTTTCCATTTTTTCGCTTCATGGTTCATGGCTCGTCGCACGATGGGAAACTAGCGAGAACAGCCGTATCTGTCTTTAAGAAAAATAGTTTCGGATGTTGCTTTCTTGGTTTTTCCTGCTGCAGGTGCGCAAAAAGAATCCGAGGTGTTGAGAAATCCAAGGGGAAACAGGATGGGAGGGAGGGGAGGGGCGTATCAAAAGAGGAAATGCTGAAAGGGAAAAATTCAAAAGTTGACAAGGCGGATGAAAAAAAGCGGATTTTTTGATACACGGGCGCTAGTTCGAGCCTCACACCGGCAAACCAACCGACTCATGATTAGTGCGCAGTTTTAATATTCTAGTCAAAGCAAGCAATTTAGCGCTGAGGGACTCATTGGGAATGCGCCGTGGATTCTGCTTCTGATCAATAGTAAGTCATCTGAACGCGCAGCAGTCTGAACTACGTGACACCTGGTTGACAGCTGATATTTGTGTCGAAGATTCCCTCTCCAAGACGGGTGGTCCTTCGTAAGCGCAAACTGTGGGTTTTCTTGCAAAGAGGAATCGTTTTATGTGCAAGGTGGTCAGGTAGCTGTAAGGCTGTATGGGAGAATAGCAGAATCGTATTTCGGGATAATGTGCGCCAAAAGAATGAATGAGTATCAATCGGCGTTGTTCAGACCGCGTTCAAACTTCGCGACCGCGCAACTGAATCGCGCGATCAGATCGCTCGACTGGACCGCGCGATAGGACCATCGACTGGATCACGCGACTACTGAGGGTGGCCCACCGCCAAGCGCTCGCCGCCACAGCGGCAGAATTCACTGGCAGCTCCATACAGTGCTAAGCGATACAGTCGAGCAATCCGCGCGCGATGCAATCGAGCAGCCGATCGCCGACCCAGTCGGGATCACGAATTCTGAACGCGGTCTCACTAGTCGTCAACTTTTACAAAAACGCGCGTCTCTCTAGGATGTCGATCCACTAATTCTCCTATCCTCCAGGAATAGCTGACCGATGTATTTTTTCTTTCATAGATTATTGTTCTAGAAAAAGAACTTTCTGACTATGACAGTCTCTAGTCGCAAAGTGTGAACGCAGCCTGTGTATGGGGCATTTTTCTCTTTGCGAGAGTGCGCAGAGATGAGGATGGAAAGTTGAGCTGCATGTTCTTTACGTTTTCACACGACATTCGGTACGCGACGAGTAGGCCACCGACACGCAACACGCCACCTTGACGGCTGTACGCCCAACCATGACCATAAACTACATAATCGCTTCATCGAAAAATGTGGGTATGACCGATTATTCCCGGTTGCGAAAAGTGCAACGAAACAGAGGTCTAAAAAGGGGTGACATTCACACCAGGGTCGAATTCACTCAACGTAGTAGTGCTACGGCGCGTCAACTCTAACTCTAACTCAACTCAGACCATAAGACCTC